CACTATTTCATGATTATTTGCCTGTTTACACTTCAGACATGCTTAATAAAAATTTACTTCAGTCTTTGAACTTTAAGGGAAAAGAAGGCCTATATGATGAATATCAAATATGAACGAAACATTGATCTCGAAAACGATCCAGGCATTGGGCTGTAATCTGAGTTTAATATCGGAGATGTCTGGTGGCCCTTTAATGAGCGAATCAGGCTGTCGTTATCAGAGTGCCCGTCATTTATATCAGTCAAACGGACCGTGTTTATCTAATCGTCTATAAAGAACACCTGCTGTATTTGTCGTTCTCAGAGAAAATGTGCATTAAAAAGTGATTCATCCATTTAGCAAATCATGCACTAAGTGGATCTGCGTTTGGATGTAATATATAGCCATTAACGCCGCCTCGTTCGCATCGATACAAGGCAGCGCCGCTTATGAATTTCACAATATCTCCAGAGATTAAGCCTGTCTGCTGGATTTTATTGAATATTTGTGCTTTGTTTCAGGCAATGCATCCATCAGGTTGCCACTTGCTGAGTGTTTTCACGTAAATATTAGCATAGACACTTCGTTATTAGTCTGAGACGGATAGCTGGCGTTGAAGAGCCCACTTTAGTTTGACAACTCTTGATTTGTTTTGTTCCATTAAAATAGACACTTAACTCAGAAGTTCTAGTGGTTTGTTACCCACTTGTAATTTTTTGTGGCTTTCTTTTGATCCTCTTAGCTTTTTTATGTCTGGAAGACGCAATATAAGCATAAGCTGAAGTGTAATTTTTTTAAAGAAATATTGTGGAGTTAATATAGTCCATTGTTTGGAGAGTATAATCATAATTATCTTGATGAACAATTATAAATGTTCACATTTATTTATGAATTTATGCCCATGCATTTATTTTGATTTAATTTTTAGTTTTGCTTATGCATTCATTTGATAAAATGTTTATTTCTTTATGCATTGATGTAATTATTTCTAGAATATTTATTTGTAGAATTCTATATGAATTTATTTATTTACACATTAATTTGTTTATGCATTTATTTGGGCGTTTATTTATGCATATATGCTTTTTGTATTTATGCATAAACTTGTTTTCCACTGGTTCAGTTGGTCTAGATTGATGGTTTAACAGGAGTTTTTATTTATTTATTTAAATTGCAATGCATTCTGGGATCTCTATAAAGAGTACATGTGATTGATGCTGCCTGAGAATATATCCAAAAGAAGGCGTTTTAGAAACCAGCATCATCATTCAAATATTATGCACCTTTTCATTCTTACAAGTCTTTTTCCCCCCTTTGAGTGGCATACTGTCGTCACTGTATGGTCCCAGTCTAATCAATATAATAGTCATAGTCCGTGGACGGAAGATTTTGATAACCGTATAGATTTTTTTTTTTCAGGCCAGACATGTGATCATACTTGAGAATAAAATTATGGCCCGAAAGCTCTTTTCTGAGCAGCAGTGTTTATGGAAATACTGCAAATGTGAGCGTGATCTCAGGGACAGAGAGAGGGCTCTTTTTCTTTCCCACCTCTTAATGGTCAACTACTTTTTTGCCTTTTCTTTCTTAATATTTCTCCTCCTCCACTTACACCTGACAGCAATAAACTTTGCATTTTTGTTTTTCTTTTCAGGAGTAACATTTCTTGATTTTTCAGCCACCGCCAGAGACACCCACCTCACCTCATACTCTGCCTTTTGCCTCCTCCAAGTCCAAGCTCTTATAACGACTAATGTCACCGTTCGTACGCAGGCCGTGTTGAACTCTATTTTGGCAGGTGTTTGAAAGTAAATCCACGTCCCAGTCATGGAATGGTCCCTTTCCCTGTAGGATGGCTGCTGGTTCCCTGTGGCAGAACTGATTTTCTACCCCCTCCTTTCCTTCCCTGCTTACATTACGCTGTCTGTCTGTATGTCTGCCACACGTAGCATGCATTTGTCTGCGCATATTTTGCAAATATCTAGAATTTTAAAGAAATAGCTCACCCAAAAATGAAAAATGGACAATTTGCTCACCCTAGGGCCGTCCAAGATGTAGATGAGTTTGTTTCTTCATCAGATTTGGAGAAATGTAGCATTACATCACTTGCTCACCAATGGATCCTCTGCAGTGAATGGGTGCCGTCAGAATGAGAGTCCAAACAGCTGATAAAAACATCACAGTAATCCACACCACTCCAGTCCATCAGTTAACGTCTTGAGAAGACAAAAGCTGAAACAAATCCAGCATTGAGATGTTTTTAACTTTAAACTGTTGCTTCCATCTAAAGACCGAAGTCCTCCATCCATAATATTGCTTTCTCCAGTGAAAAAGTCACCTGGTTTAAATCAGGAGAGAAATCTGCACGGATCAAGCACTGTTTATGAGGGAAAACAGTCCAAAACGTTTCTAAACAAATATGTTGGGTGGATTTTTATGTGAGAGGAGAACAGGAGACGGACTTTTCCACTGGAGGAAGCGTTATTATGGATTATGGATTTACAGTGCATTTTGGCCAGAAGCAACGGTTTAAAGTTAAAACGTCTTAGGGTGTATTTACACCAGGAAAATCCGATAGTTCGCTTGCTTTGGTCCGGACCAAATACAATGTGGATTTATTTATTTTTTGTTTTGTTTTGTTTGGTGCGGTTCCCTTTCACACTGCCCTTTTTGCAAGTGAACCAGAAATTGTAAACAAAACCACATGTGTGCTAAGGTCATCCATTCATTGGTTCATCCTTTGAACTGTACCGGAGTTCATTTGGAACCGGACTGAGACCACCTCTTCAGCTGGGTCTCGGTACGGTTGTTTGGTCCGCACCCGAGTGTGATTGCTGTATTCACACCTGCCCAAAACATCCGCACCAAGGGGGGAAACGAACTTGAGTTCGATTCAATCGAACCAAACAAGACAGGTGTGAATACACCCTTGATGATGGATTTGTTTCTTACAAACACGCAGCTTTTGTCTTCACAAGACATTGATTGATGGACTGGACTGGTGTGGATTATCGTGATGTTTTTATCAGCTGACGGCACCCATTCACTGCATTGGTGTGCAAGTGATGGAATGCTACATTTCTCCAAATCTGATGAAGAAACAAACTCATCTACATCTTGGATGGCCTGAGGGTGAGCACATTTTCATTTTTGGGTGAACTATTCCTTAAAACACATGTGATTTGTTTAAAGAGGAAATGTCATTTGTTATGCTAAAATACTTTATCTCAGTTTTGGTGTAGCATGAAATTGCACCCATTTTACTCTGCTTTATATGATGCATTTTAAAACACAACTCGATCAGGCAAAAGTGTTTTTGTCCTCCTGAAACACGTGCAAACACCCTAAACATTTTCTTGTTTCAAAGCAGATTTTTTTTTCTCTTCACAATTTCATTTGCTGTTGATAGTGACTCAGAAATTACACACTTCACCTTTATTGCATGTGTCTCGAGTAGAATAGGAAGCAGAAGAGAGGTTATCATCATTATTATTATTTCCACCTCACTGCCATGTCTAACTGCTTGTTGGACGTGGTCGTCCATTAATGGAACATCATTGAGCTTTTGTTTCTCCAGACACCTTTGTCTTTTTGCAGCGTGCCTGATAATTAAGGTTTATAGGTTTAGTGTCTTAAAAGTAAAGACATGCACACAAACAATGGCAAAAACCAAAGCCGCGGTGCATCCGTCTGCCAATCAGCCCTCAGCAGATACGCTAAGCCAGCAGCCCTCTTCTAGACGGAGAGCAGCTCATCTCAGCAGCCAGGCAATCTGCACTCTCCATATGCCTTTAAACATGTATTATGCATGAAAATGCATAGCAGCTCACTCAAGTTTTCCCTCAAGCGCTGCTGTAGAGAAACTCACAGGCTTGACTTTGAGTCACACTCGCTGAACAGCTTTAGTGGATGCTCTTCCAAATGAGTCCATCTCGCTTTGCGCTGCTTGATAGGTTTTTAATTGTTTCTTAAAGGAGTAGTTCACTCAGAAACAAACTGTTGTTAAAATTATTGTAAAATCTTTATGCGGTGATGTAGTAGTGACCCTGTCAAACTCCAAAAAAGACCATAAGAAACGCCTTAAAATAGTCCATACAACTATATTCAAGTCTTCTGAAGCAGTGATATTTCAGTGTTATTTATTAACTATTATAGTGTTTATTAATATTTCGAATTAGCTTTAATGTTTACATTTTCAGTTTTCATTTTAATTTTGAGATTTAGCAACTTGAACTAAAATGAAAATGAAAACTTAACAACTTTGTTGTGTTTTTGTCTTTTTTTAGTATTTTTATTTGGTTTTAAATACATTTTATTATTATTATTATTTTTTTTTTTTTAGTACTTCAACTTTATTTTTTTTACATTTTATAAAAACAAATGTAGTTGCCAAGGCAGCATTTCTATTTTTTTTTTTTTGATAAAAATAATAATTATAATTTTTTTATTTCATATTTTCATCTAATATTTATATTTCAGCTTTATTTAATTTTACAAAAATGATTTTAGCTTTAGTTTTAGTTAATAATAGCAACACTGTTCTGAAGTCATATGATAGAATTGTGTGAGGAACAGACCAAAAGTTAAATGATTATACACTGAAAATAAAATACAATTTTAATCAATATTTTGAATTAGCTTTTCTTTTTCTTTTTTCAGTTATCATTTTAATTTTAGTTTACACTTTTTGTAGCTTAAACTAAAATTAAAATGAAAAATAATAAAAGAAATTTTTTTTTTTTTTTTTTGGTTTAATTAATTTTTATTTAATTTTAGTCCTAATTTTATTTCAGTTAGTTGCTAAGGCAGCATTTCTCATTTTTGTTTTCTGTTTAAGTTGTACATTTTTTTCATCTAATATGTGTATTTTATTTCAGCTTTATTTCAGTTAATGAAAGCAATTTTTAGTAGTTGTAGTTTTAGGTAACAACAGTAACAACACTGCTCTGAAGTCTATAGATATTTGTGAGAGGAACAGACGACACAAGCTGCAGGTTTAACCTTCTTCATACTGTGTCCAGGTTATCGGGAGAGAACAGAAACGGTGAGAAGATGCAGCTGACAATGAGTAACATCAGTTCAGATGTTCTGGAGCTTCTCCTTGAGTTTGTTTACACCGGCTCCCTCATTATCGACTCGGCCAATGCTAAGACCCTACTGGAGGTGGCCAACAAGTTCCAGTTCAACACTTTCTGCAAAGTCTGTGTCTCCTTCCTCGGTAAGAACCAGACAGATTACATTTTCCCCCAGACATTTCACCAAAATCGTGCAACTAATTCCGTCACTAAATTGCATGCATTTAATACAACACTGTATGCATTAGTTTCATTTTCAGACAAATTGCTTAGAAAAGCTTTTCCCATCATGTCTGGTCAAAGAGAGAATTAAAAAACAGTCATGCAAAACTGCTTTTGGTGCAAGTAACCTTGAGTAAAATTGTAAGAGGACCTCAAGAAAGAAATGCTGCAGTAAATGCAGAACATGATTGTAGTTCTCAATCTCTCGTGGACAAATTATGGTAATAGGCTTTCTAATGAGTTTGTTTTTGTAGGTACTCTAAAAACTTGGAGTAATTTACTGGAACTTCATGGTGAAGCCGTGAGGGAATACGCTCATTATTCATTCTGTCCACGTCTCACTCTCTCTTTTTGTATTCTGTTTCCCCTTTCAGAGCTGGAGGCTTGTGTTATGTTGATTGACACATGAGCACAACACACACACACACGCTCTGCCGTGAACTGAAGTAAATTAGAAATACAGTTGCTCATTACAGAAGTCGTAATGACTCGTGCGCTGGTTGTGAATCAGACATCTTGACGGTTGATATGCGGTAATTTCTAGTAATCTGAATACTTGTTGTAATATTTTAGTCAGATATTGCACCAGGAGCCAGACTCGGAGGAGTCAGTCCATACATATTTTAGCATGTAGATCCTGACAGGCGGCTCGGCACCGTTCAGAACTGAATTGAGAATGCAGTTTACATGTCAATTAAGCTGCACAATTTGAATTCAGATGCTTGCAGGATGCTGGATTATGATTTGAATTTGAACTGGAAATTGAAATAGAATGAATGAATTCATGCTGTTTGAGTAGTTTGTATTTGTGGTTTTAAAATTATGCTTTTCAGCATGAATGACCCATAAATGTTGCTCTGTGTGTGTGTGAATATATATTCATTATTTATTAATTGTATATGTATGAATTAATATTTATTATTCATTAATTTATTAATATTATTTTTCAAAGTATTTATATTTAAATATATTTTTTAATTATTTATTATGCCTGTGTATGTATGTATGTATGTGTGTGTGTATATATACTGTATATATATATATGAATTGATTGGAGTTTTTTATATTTTTATATTACACCTCTGTAGTTTATTTATATAAATATTTAGTTTTTCTTTTTCTTTCTTCACCGAGCCTCTTGTTTATATTATGAATGTGTAAATAAGAATAATTACACATTATAAGTCAGTTAATGATAACACAAAAAAGAATTGAAACTGAAAAGAATTGAAATGCACAAAAAATAATTGAAATAGGACAATTTAAAAAAACATGTTCTAATTGTAGTTTCCGTTTGTAGTTTTCATAGAAATGTTACTTTTCAACATGAATAACACCATAAAAATACGTTTGATTTAAAATGTTTGAACTGCCACCTGTAAAAAGTTGGTTAATTTATGTATATTTCACAATATTTAATAACATCCATCCATCCATCCAAATTTATTTAGAACATTTACATATATAAAATTTATTTATACATTTATTATGTTGTATGTATTTATTTTCATTATTTTTACACCTGTGCAACATTTATGTTTTATACACAACATTATAATTCATTAGTGATTTTTGGTTGTACAATGCGGTTGTCACTCTTATAAATAATTGAACCGCACTTCGACTAACTAGTGACAAAATGACTATATATTTGACAGCACTTAACTGAATTGAGTAATCGAAATTTGCTGTTGATAAGGCAGGTGCAAGGAATGTGAATTATGAGTTTAGCTTCAGAATCAAAAAGTGGAAGTCGGTGGCATTGACAGCTCTAGTTTGTGCTCCTCTTCCCATGAACCCCTGGGATCTGGAGCTTATTAATCTATCAACACCTCAACACCTATGAAATGACATTCTCTCCTGTAGGGATCCGCTGGAGTGCTCCGTCTACTTCACTATACAAAAGTTAGAAATGAAAAGTCGAAATGTGCAAGACTGACTTGAGACACTCTTGTTAGCGTGACCGCTTCAGATAAGTGATGTATGGCACTTGAATGCGTATGAAAAGTGAACGCTCTGCAAAAGAGATTCTTCTTCAAGGTTTCATCAGCGGGAAAGAGTTTTGAGTTCTTGCAGTCAAGATGGTACATTGAAATATTTGGTAATAGAAATCGAAGCCATTTACACTTTCCTAAGCGCATGTGCTTTCATTACACGTAATTGTGTTTTGAGTGCTGGGAGATGTGTTGTATGAGAGGAGTTTTCTTTACGCCTTTACCAGAGCTCGTCATATACTGTATGCTTGATTTAATGCAGAAAGAATAATGCTCACATTTGCAATTTCACCCACTTAAAGTCCACAATTATTTACTTTTGTAGGTAATGCAGCCTTTCTAAAATGTTTGTAAATTAATAGTAATGCAAATTGCAGAATAATATGAAATAATGATATGTTGAGAAATTAAATGAACAATTTATACCATCACACCGTTATCCAATAAAACTTGACAATGCATTGCATAAAGTAAAATGCATTATATATGCATTTAATGTTTTAATAATAAGTTCACTTTTGAGTGTTAGCATGTCATACAATATATGATATATTTACACAAACATCAGTTGATATTAAAAACTAGTTTTTAAAATGCTACTTACAGAAAGATAGTTAACACACACACACACACACACACACACATATATATATATATATATATATATGCTTCTACTTTGTAAGTCGCTTTAGATAAAAGCATCTGCTAATATATATATATGTATATATGCTAATATATATATATATATGAAGAGTTCAGATGCAAAAGCCTCCAAGTACGTCTGATGTTTTTCTTTAAAATTAGCATTTCTTTCTGACTACTATGTATAGGTTTCTATGTAAGTACTGGTACTTCTGAATGGAGCGGAATAGATCTGCTACGCTGCTGCTGAATTGCTGCTGCTGTTGGTTATTACTGTAGTTGTAGATAATTGCTGCTGCTGCTGCTGTAAGCAAGTACAGGAACTTGCTGCTGCCAATGCATACGGCGATATTTAAGACCAGCCAAATATTGTCCTATCCTAACAAACCATACATCAATGGAATTCAGCTTTCAGATGATGTATAAATCTCTTTTTATTTATTTTTTTACAGTCTCTTATGCTTTTATTCAGCAAAGATGTATTATATTTAGCAAAAGTGACAGTAAAAAAAAAAACAGAAAAAGTGTTGTTCTTTTGAACTTTCCGTTCGTCAAAGATAAATAAAATAAAATGTAATAAAAAAATATTCAGCAGCACAACTGTTTTTAACATGAATAATCAGAAATGTTTCCTGAGCAGCAAATCTGCATATTAGAATGATTTCTGAAGGATCATGTGACACCGAAAAAGACTTTGCAGCACAGAAATAAATTACATTTTAACATATATTCCCATAGAAAACATTTATTTTAAATGGTAATAATATTTCATAATATTGCTGTTTTGTATTTTTTTATCATGTAAATGCAACATTAGTGAGCTTAAGCGTGTTCTTTAATAAAAATCTTATTGATTCCAAATTTTTGAACTGTAGTTAAATACATATACAGATGTGGTGAACGTGAAGAGCTTAATTTGCTGATTTATTTGGAGTTTTGGGGTTTTTTAGAGTACAAACCCTAAATTGACAGCAAGGTGGACCTATAACATTGAGCAGCCATCAAATAAATTAATTGTTATCTCTCTGTCCCAGAAAAAGAGAGTGAAATGTAAACCATTGCCTCGTCTGAATGTTTACCCATGTGTGTGCTTAACCAGAACTTTATCCCTTGTGTTTAAGCTGGACCTTTCATTGTTATACAGCACACAGAAAACATCACATCTTTGCTGCCTGTTTGACAGAATTGCGAGATTAAATCACTGGTTTGAGTAGCAAGTAATCAATTTCAGGAAATGTGCTTCTTTCCTGAGAAAGGTCTTTTTTCCCTTTGAGGTGCAGTAGACTTTACTGATGTTCATATCTGTGTGAGCATTCAGAGCGGGTCTGAAAATAGTCCTGGTAATATGGCAGATGAAACATTCATGATGCAGTGCTCACACCGAGCGTGTGAGGAGATTACCATCCTGAGAACGTGCCGTCATTTCCTTATGTTAAATCTACTAAAAGCCACTCGATTACACGCTCTTCTGTAGCACAAAGGAGAGAAACGTACTGAACAGGAGGCGTATCATCCCGCTCCAGCTGGACATCAGAGCTTCACGGCTGTGTGAAACCAAATGCAGGCCAAGATGTTACTTCTCTTTACAAAAGGTTAATGTATTTAAAAAAAAAAAGTAGTTTTAGGCCAGTAATCACCAAAAATCTGTTTCAGACCACCATGGCTCTTTTCTAAAACCCTAGTGAGCATTTAAAGGATTACTTGTGTTCCTGACGTGAAGGTAAAATGATTAAATAAATAATGAAATATGGAAGCTTTTTCCCCACAGTGAAATAAAAAAATTTGATACTTTGTATCTCAAAATTCAGATTTTTTTATTCTTAGTTTATATCTCACATTTCTAAGAAAAAAGTTTGAATTGCAAGATATAAACTTGATATTCTAAAAAGAAATGTCTGAATTGTGAGATATAAACTGATTTTATTAAAAGGAATTGTAGGGAAAAAGTCAAGCACCTTTTTTATTTTTATTTTTTATCCTGTGACAGAAACTATGTAAACTTACAGTTTATAACTTGCAAAAAAAGTCATAATTGTAGGGTATAAACTGAAAATATAAAGGAAAAGGAAAAAAAAATCAGAATTGCAATAGTTAAACCTGCAATTACGAGTTCATATCTTGCACATGTGAGATTTAAAGTCAAAATTTAGAAAAATAAAACAAATTGTAGGGTATAAAGTAAACTTGCAGTTGTGAGAAACAAGTGTTTTTTTGCTAGTTTCAGCCAGACGCAGTTGTCATTTTCACGTCCTGCGCCACGTTGTTTAAATAGCAAATGCATTTGC